AAAATGGCTAAAAAGCTCAGCTATTAATGATTGTTTTGGGTGTTAGTGGGTGTTAGTAGACTCAGCTCGACGAGCTCTATCGATTGGCTATTTCAGATTTTAATTTCGGGAAATTTTGGGTGTTAGTCGGTGTTCTCATGTTTTACAAATGTCCTCAACAAGCTCACCATCAAATGTCGATAACTCAGTCAGTTTTCGTCCAAAATGACTCGGATCTTCAGAACAAATTTAGTGTCGATCAGTAAACGTGCTTATTTAGTCAAGACTTTGCTCTCATCGTTTTCTGAGACTACGGCTGTTCAGGAGGTTTCTAGAAAACTTAGAATTCGAAGGAAGCTTGATTTGATCTTTGCACTAACTGAGCATGCTTAACGGTTAATTCACTCTCTTCTGAAAATCCGGCTGATTTTAGACGAAAACTGACTGAGTTATTGACATTTGATGGTGAGCTTGTTGAAGGGAGAAACACTAGAAAACTGGAAAAATCGATAGTTCAAAAATGAAAGCAGGTGAGCCTCTGGAACTTTCATTGCAGTTAGTAGTCCTCTACAGAATCATTGTCTAAAAGTTTCAGCTCTACACTCTTTTTCTGGAGGGAGCTGCGAATTTTTCTATTTTCTCTTGTTTTCGCTGGGAAAATCAGGTTTTTCAAAAACCCAGGTCTCCGGAGTCCCATATGCCAAAACCATTGTGATATTCGGAATCAGCATGCTCGATTACCTATTGTCCAGTGAGTTTCAGCCTAAAAGCGGTGGGACAGTTGGTGGCCTTCCCTCGTAAGGGATGAATCGCGTCTTCAGTGGCAAGGCAATAAATATATAAATAAAGTGATTCTTGTGTGTTAAAACGTCAATAATAGTTTTCACTTTTATTGTTATTTAAGTTGGTTTCAAATAAAATCTTTCCTAGGAAAAACTCTTTTTTCTTTTGTGCATGCCTTCCTTTGTTTCTTCTGTCTGGGTGGAACTCTTCACTCTGAAGGAGATAAACATGAATCATACAGTCAGGGATAACTACCTTAGTCGTAAAAACAATTTTCGGTTTATCCCAGTTTATTAATGTTATTTTTATGTTTTGGCCTTAGATAACCTACAGCTCAGAATAACACTAATTTCGCCATAGGATTGTCAAAAAAACTTCCGAAATGAAAACAACCTCTCCACATACACAACTCGACATGTTCTACAACCTAGAAACATCAGATATGAATGAAAACCGAGTCTAGGAAGTTCTAACTGTCTCTCTGATGCTCTTATTCGGAATCTGTTCCATAAATTTCATTAAAAAAGCCTTTTATTACTTGGGAACCTTCCATGCAAGTAAATCTATACCTTATTTATATCTAGCAGATTCGATTTGCTCGTTTTGGATAAAATAAAATATTCACAATATCTTCAAGTTATAGTTATTTATTTAAGCGTATATTTGTTTATTACTGTTGTTTTCTAGTTGCTGCTGCCATGTTGTTGAGATAATCCGTAATAACTGCTGAGCGGTTCTCTGCTGGCATCTTTAATCCAATATCAAATGCTTGTTCGAAATAATTCATTGATGCTTCGTAATTATTCTGTCGAAAGTAAGCGCAACCAATATTATTCAGAATATCTGCTTTTACGATCGGATCTAACTTCTCTCCGGAAAACTGTTCATTTGCTTTGGTAAAAGTTTTTAACGCATTTTCATAATTCTTTTTTTGTAACATTATACAACCCAAATTGTAATAGTCTATCGAAAGAGAAGTACTATTTAATATTGGTCGTTTTAATATAACGTCAAGTGTTTCAGCTTGTGTATCTGATTCAGATGATGGTAATGAGTCACGGTCGTTGGCTAAGTCTAATGCTTTTTCATAATAATTTTTGGCATCTTCCCTATACTCATCACCTTTTCGTTCATAAATAAGAGCCATATTATTATAAATACTCATTTTATCATTATCAGTTGTATATTCGTTGAATAGCATATTATAATAATTTAGTGCATTGTCACATTTTTCTAATAAACTTGTTTTCAACCAAAACATACCCAATGTGAAAACCGTGAGTTTTTCATCGAATAGATTTTCAAAATGGCTAATTAATTGTTTTGCTTCGTCCTCTTCTCTATTGGTTAATTGTAATTTAATATGCCATATCTTACTAGGTAATATTCCACACGATTCCAGTCGAAATATTGTACCAATTAAAAATAAATATTGGCCATCTTGTTTTAAGTAACTTACATTTTGAATATTAGCATATGACTTAACAGTTTCATCAAATTCAATTTCAAATAAAACAGTTCTTATCGATGAATTATTACCATCTTTACTATTCATAACATATGATGAAGCGGTTTTACTTGAGATAGTCCCATACATAAATATATTTACAGACAATAGTTCGCCTATATGTTTTTTCAAATGTTCTAATTCATCATTATTCATTGTTTGACTATGAAAAACGGTACGTAAAAGAGGAGTGGCAACATATGAAGAACGTAATTCAATCAACTGATTGTAGAGATCAAGAATATAGTATCGAAATTGAAATATGATATCTAGATTATGTGAACAAAGTGCATGATTTAATGTACGACGAAGGAACTCATGTTTATGTGTATACCACCATATAGCTGTGGAAGACAGGCATGGGCGAGTCCGGGAGGGACCGAGTCCGAGCCGAGTCCGAGTCCTCAAAAATTTATTCCGAGTCCGAGTCCCTAACATTAAGGACCGAGTCCGAGTCCGAGTCCGTTTCGAGTCCGGTAATCTTTTAGATTCTTTTTTGATGATTGTGGTTCATTTCTTTTTTTTCTGTGCCATTTAATATAT